GGCTCTCTTGACATATCCATCTACTTCAGTCTCATTCTCTTGGATTGCAAGTCCGCTGCTGAGAGTTGATGAGCATCATGTTGTGAAAGGAACATTTCAATGTGCCTGTTCAGGCCTGTTTCTGCTACTGCTAAACTTCTATTAAAATGAAAATGTGACTAAAGCTTTACTGACAGTCTTCAGAATGTAAATTTCAAGAAGAATCGTAACTATGCATGCAGAAGTGTTCTGGAGTCAGTTTCTAACAATTCCAGGTAAGGTTGGGAAATCTGGTAGGGCAGGAGTACAAAACATGTGGCTTGATGGTAGCATGTGGCCTGCAAGTATCCCTTTTATGGCTTACCAGTCTTTTTCCAGAGTTGGTTCACACTCCTGCTGTAGAACTTATTGCCAGTTAGGCAGTGTAGTAGTTGTCTGCTAATATGGCAAGACTATAATTTACAGCTTTTCTTTTCCATGCATACATGTTTATATAGGGCTTCTGTAAAATTATCTCATATAGTTATAGCAACAGCCATCTAGTGTATAATTCTCAGGTGTGGGCTGCAGAAGCAAGCTGAGAATATGTGATAAATGCTACTATACCAATTATCATTGATCCTCCATTTCAGGAAGAGCAGCACTGTTTTTATATACAGCCCTTCTTCGTGAAGGATTTCAAGAAAGCGCATGTCATAATAAAAGTTCAGCATTATGGTATTACAAAAAAAGTATAATCTATCTTTCGCAAAGTGTTGGGTATGGTCCTAAGAGCTCTTCCAAAAGTCCCCTCTAAATTGTCATTTTTAATGTGAATGATACGGGAAATGATTAGAATCTTGTGAAATGACCATATGAAATGTGTTGAAACGAATTTTAATTAAATGTAAATTCAATCAGATTTAATTTTTTCCTTGGCTCAGCTCATTGTTTGGAGTGTGCCTTCCCCAACACCTTCAACATACAGGTTTGCATAAAGCCTGAAAATGGTTGCACGCTCATACTATAACAGCTAAAAACCTTCAGTATGTAAAACTAATAGAAAAGCAACATTTGTAATACAATATGTGTCCAGTATGGCTGTGCATGTTTTCAACATGATTTAGAAGTAATTATTTAGACCTCAGACAAGCAAAGCATCCCCCTACTGTTGATTACATTTGCCACATAAGCCTGAAAAAAGAGTTATTTTATGAGTTGCTTTAATGAGTTGACTTCTTAAGGCAGCTGCATTTACATCCAGGTACATGCCGAAAAAAGATGTAACTGTTTAGTAAATATTAAAGAGATGAGGTTCTCAAGGTCCAGAGGCATTCTTCTGAATCGTTATTGAAGTGTGCAAAATTAGCCTATTCCAGCATACTCAGGGGAAAAAAGATATAAACTATTAGAGACTCCCCAAACCAAGCTTTGTTTTCTAAAAAGCCTCCAGGCAGTTTTTCTAATGTCTACTTTGCAAGCTATTCCAGCTTCTATCTGGCACAGCCAAGGTTGAACTTCTTCCAAAAAAATGCAGTGCTTATCTACCCAGGCCTGGACATTATGTATATTCTGTCTCAATATTCCAGTATTCAGCACAAACGGCCCTGTGTTCCCACATGATAAATCCCAGGCAGCCCCAGCATGTGCCACATATAAATTCAGGACAATGCACACTGCAAGGACATTTCTCCTCCCACCCTTGCTCTTCTCTGCCCTCCTCCAAATTTCACTTGGGATAGTTCTCTTCCACTAATTCATATATAAATTGTTTGTGTTTTACAGTCCCTGCTCCTAATAAGCAGAAGATTAATTATGGACAGTCTGTACCTGTGTGTGTGTGTGTGTGTGAGAGAGAGAGAGAGAGAGGCCGGGGGAGAGACAGGGAGAGAGAATTGTATATTTGAACCATTTTCAATCGGTATTACCTAAAGTATAGTTATTTTGTTTGCTTGTTATACTTTATCCTTCTTGGCACTGAGAAGTTCCAGGAGTCACATTACCACCAAGTTTCATTTTTTGTGGAACAGGGAGGAGGATTACACCACCTTTACAGTACAGTATTTGCTTTATTCACAATTATGCAAGCTATATTTGGAAGCACAGAGGTACCTCCTATGGTTCTCCCTCCTTCCAAACAAAATAACCACAACTAAAACAGATAGTGCTCTGAGTTTTTTGATCAGGGTTCCCAACATTATTCTTAACTTAGAAACAGCTGCTTGGGAGCTGTTAGGGTTGGCACCCTACTTTGATCAGAGCAATGGTGCCCTGGGGGTGTATGTGTGTGTGTGAGATTTTTATCTGAAATCACCCTCCAAACTTCTATTAGACCTTCAGGGGGAAAACTCACATGTCTGTATTGTGTCTCTTTTCCCCTATGCAAGCTTAATAGCCTTGTCCAAGGAGCACCATTCTGACATTGGTGGAAGATTCAGTTTCTTCAGTATACAAATTCTTCCTTCTAAGAGTCCAAGGTCCCCTAAACATATTTAGTGGAGATACTATAAAATGACATTTTAAAAAAAGTTGTTCGCTTCACAATATCAACTAATGCCAAATGCAAATTATCTTGCTCTTCCTTTTGCAAAATGTCTTTTTAATGTCATTCACACATGACAGTGCTGACTCTCCCTCCCCCCAAAACACACAGTAAATGCCTACTGAGTGGGTGTATTTACAATTGGTGACTGGGTGCAAAGCAATCTGAACTCAGCCACTGTGGTTAATTCAATAAATCACAGCCAACCATTTAGCATTCTAGGTCAGTGTTTCTCAACCTTGACAACTTGAAGATGTGCGGACTTCAACTCCCAGAATCCCCAAGCCAACTTGCTGGCTGGGGAATTCTGGGAGTTGAAGTCCGCACATCTTCAAGTTGTCAAGATTGAGAAACAGTGCTCTTGGTGAATCAAG